AATTAATAAAACTAACAAAAATTCAAATCAAAACAAAAAAAAAACAGAAAATCTATTTAAAATAAAAAATATTAATAAAAATATAATTCTAAATATTATAATCCATTTCTAAATATTACTTGTAAATATTCCAAATAAATTTGTTTATTAATAATAATAATCTTGTTAATTATTATCATTAAAATATATTACAAATATATATATTTTTAAAAAACTATAATAAATACATAACATCGAAGCTTGTTTCTTCCAAAACAGAAAATGTTTTAGCAGTAAAAACAAACACAAGTTAATCATTAGTCATACAGTAAGAATATAGAACTATGAATGTGGAGCAGCTGTGATTATTTGATGAGAAATATTTGAGTTGAGATTTCTGATTTAAAGACTTTGGTTTCTTAACAGATCTGAGCACAGTTTGAGACATTATTAATTATTACGGAAATCATTTATTCAGGAGAAACATCTGAGAAGCCAAAATCTTAATTTGTTCTCCATTTGATCCCATTATGGGCTAGGAAAAAATAAATATTGAAGAGTTTTCATTATTTTTCTATAGGAAAAAAACGATAATGTTCTTGTTTTTTTTACTGTTTTCCTTAACCGGTGCTACTTTATTCAGTCTTTTCATTATGTGCACTATTTTGACCAACTGCTGCTTCATGGCCATGTCTGAACCTGCGCAGTGGGCCAAATACGTCGAGTGAGTATCGCTCTCGTCTTCTTCTGCAGCGTTCCTGTCTCTTACAGCTCTCTCTCTCTCAGTGTACTGACCTCTGACCTCTGACCTCTGAAATGTGCCCTATTTGTTCTGATGTAAAGCTTTGCAGGGTGTTTGTTGGCTTGTCAACCTCAATTAGCAAGTAAGGTAATGATCTGACTGCACCTTTGCCATGCGGAATGAACTCATGGTATGGACGTCATAAACCAGCACCAGAAAGATTCATTAAAGGGAATGTTGTCAAAGAATAAAAAATGTGATTTAAAAAAAAAAAAATTCTCACATGAATTTGGACAATACAATTATTTTTTTCTCTCTCAAAAGAACATGGGCTAAATCTATCTATCTATCTATCTATCTATCTATCTGTCTGTCTGTCTATCTATCTATCTATCTATCTATCTATCTATCTATCTATCTATCTATCTATCTATCTATCTATCTATCTATCTATCTATCTATCTATCTATCTATCTATCTATCTATCTATCTATCTATCTATCTATCTATCTATCTATCTATCTATCTATCTATCTATCTATCTATCTATCTATCTATCTATCTATCTATCTATCTATCTATCTATCTATCTATCTATCTATCTATCTATCTATCTATCTATCTATCTATCTATCTATCTATCTATCTATCTATCTATCTATCTATCTATCTATCTATCTATCTATCTATCTATCTATCTATCTATCTATCTATCTATCTATCTATCTATCTATCTATCTATCTATCTATCTATCTATCTATCTATCTATCTATCTATCTATCTATCTATCTATCTATCTATCTATCTATCTATCTATCTATCTATCTATCTATCTATCTATCTATCTATCTATCTATCTATCTATCTATCTATCTATCTATCTATCTATCTATCTATCTATCTATCTATCTATCTATCTATCTATCTATCTATCTATCTATCTATCTATCTATCTATCTATCTATCTATCTATCTATCTATCTATCTATCTATCTATCTATCTATCTATCTATCTATCTATCTATCTATCTATCTATCTATCTATCTATCTATCTATCTATCTATCTATCTATCTATCTATCTATCTATCTATCTATCTATCTATCTATCTATCTATCTATCTATCTATCTATCTATCTATCTATCTATCTATCTATCTATCTATCTATCTATCTATCTATCTATCTATCTATCTATCTATCTATCTATCTATCTATCTATCTATCTATCTATCTATCTATCTATCTATCTATCTATCTGTCTGTCTGTCTGTCTGTCTGTCTATCTATCTGTTGTCTATCTATCTGTCTGTCTGTCTGTCTATCTGTTGTCTATCTATCTATCTGTCTATCTATCTGTCTGTCTGTCTATCTATCTATCTATCTGTCTGTCTGTCTATCTATCTGTTGTCTATCTATCTGTCTATCTATCTATCTATCTATCTATCTATCTATCTATCTGGTTTGATGGATTGCCTGTATTAAGCGTGTCTCTCTCTCTGTCTCTGTGCTCTTCTTCAGCTCATGTATCTCTGTGTCTCTCTGCTTGTGTGTTTGCCGCGCTCATGTGCAGCTCTCGGTTTACTCATCGTCCGGTCGTCTGTCAGTTGATCTGCTTGTCTGTCTCTGGGTTTGTCTGTCCTTCATCTCCAGCTTCAGTAAGGGCCGCAGCACGCCAGCAGAAGTCAGCCCATGCGTACGTACATCACACCGGATAGAGCGGATTTATCCCATGTTTTCCCACGCAGCTCACACAGTTTGCCGTATTGAGATAAATGTGACCTACAGTGTAAGTGACTGTAGGAGACGAGAAGCACGCAGTGTGTGCTCGTAGAGAAGCACGCAGACCTTTAATGAAGACCTGCGCCGGCCTCTGGACGTTCTGCACTGTGAAACCAGCGTCTGATATCTTCATCTCAGGAGGTGTTGTAGCACGTAGCATGCAATGACAACACCTGTTTCTGAAACGAGCGAGAAGTCGTACCTCTCAGCACCTTATGAAGGCAAACCCTGAGATATAGACAACAAATTTATAGCGTTACAACACACACAACGACCCCAGAGAGTATTTCAACACACTTTAGTCACACTTACAAATTTGTGAATGCCTTTGCTATATATAAGTATTACTTTAGCATTATTTATATATTAGTATAGTATTTATTCATATTTTGAATTAGCTTTTATTTTTAATTTTCAGTTTTCATTTTCATTTTAGTTAAAATTTTAGTAATTTTGTTATGCGCTTTTGTAAGTTCTATTCATTTTTCAAGTCTCTTTTTCACTGTAATTTCATTTTATATCAGTTTTAGTTTAGTAAGTTTAAGTTTTGAATCTATTCATTCATACATTCATTCAAATATTTCTAAATAATTTCATTTAATTATAAATAATTACACATTTTAATTTAAATATAAATTATAAACTAACTATTTAATCTTAAAATAATTGTATATAAATATATTATTTTATTTTATTTAATCTAGTTACAGTCAATTTCAATTAATGAAAATAGTTTTATTAGCTTTTAGTAGTTTAAATCATATATATATATATATAAAATTTTTAAATAAATTAAAAGTATTCAGACCCCC